TGTGTGTGTGTATGTGTCGTAACGTTGTAGACAAAGGGGGAGAGTTTAATTCTTTACTTGTAAATGGTAAGGGTCACAAAAACGATACGATACAGCTAATAATGATGAAAGGAAAGGAAAAGGAATCAACCAAACTGCTTGAGCGTAATGAAGAAACTGGTCATCAAAAGCTCCCTGGACAACACTCAATACAGCTTATATACGGAAAAAGTGGGAGTGATTTTGCTCCAAATTTTTCAACAGATTTGATTTAAAACAAAGATCTAAGATATGAGTGATGATTGCATAGATAGATAATTTTTTATACTTTGGTCTCTCGCGAAATTGGAATTCGCGACAAGTCCTTCTCCTGGCACCACACCACAAAAAAAGAACCACAACTCAAATTTGACTTGGTTTCAACTTTTACAACACCTCCTTTCTGCTACAAAAATTTCCATGAGGAAAATCTTTTAGCAGCATATTCAAATGATTATGTTGGTAGAAGTGTGTTGGTTCAGTTAACAGTTTATTAACTGTTTAGAAGAGGATATTTTAAAGGTAAGTTGAGCAATAATTCAGAAATTAGAAATACATATGATTACGCAGAAAAAGTGATTGAATCCGATCGATTCTCTCCCACAAGAATTTTGATTTCAGAAATCTGTTTTTTCAGTTTGTTCAAAAATTGACAGATGGTGAGGCAAAACCACTAAATCTTTAAAAGGATTGCGCCGTATTAAATGTATTTGATATTGGGTTTTTGATTTTGCAATACAGTGAGAAGACAAGGGTCGTAGAAAACTCCATTTCGATGGAAATTTTTTCGTTAGACAGGTAGTTGAGGGTAATGATAATTGCAAAGAATAGGTGTTTCAGTTAACACGGCATAAGATTCACCTTCTCAGGTTTGTTTCGTCGAAAAAAAGGAATACGAATTAGGTTACCATATTAGTGGTCGATAATGGTATGAATATATCGGTAATTATCATCTTTGCTTTTCTGTTGAGCTCTATTTGTCTGCGGATCCTAGCTACCAACTTTGTTCTAGTATCAGTCTTATCACTAGTTTGCTATTTATTGTATTTGCTGCTTTTCAAAAAGCTCACATAGTGGGAAAATCTAGTTTACTAGTTAAGTCGAAGCTTGTTGCTACTGGTTGGTTTTATGCGCCAAGGTTCCTCATATAAAAATTCCTAGTGATCAAGGAGAGCACTTATTTTAAATGACTGCATCAGTCAAATTTCCCAGGCATTTACTGATTTGGAATGCACTAACAATAACGCTTTTGGATCAGAATTCCATCAACTACTGTGTTAACGAGGTCAACCCTCCCAAAAATTTTAACTAATTCGTTTGCTCTTCTTTCTAGCTAGTTCAAGTCTAACAAATTTAAAAGCCACAACTAGCAAAAACATTCAAAACCTATTTTAATAGATCACCAACGGTACACCAACCATATGAACAGCAACAATGACTGTTAAAGATACAATAACAATGCCGCCTCTATAGCAGCAAGACCTCATGATTCAACATAAACAATGAAGTGGTGGGAACTGCTGTCATTCGAAATATTCCGACTGATTATATAGATGTAACCTGAGCAGTTTATATGAATTTGATTTCATCCTTATGGGGAAAGGTTACTGCCCATACTGATTTGGCAGTGGCTGCTTTGGCAAATAATTTTTACATCACTTTAAGAAATAAGTCCCAGCTCACTTACTGCCTGTACACTACAGTTAACAACACTTTCGAACTGCGACGCCTACAGACTGCTGATTGTGCAGATCGGTTCTGTAAAAGCGACTGTGTTCACATATTTTTAAGTGATATTGAATGACTGACTTTTCGACGGCTTAATCTTTTGATCATTCACAATAACCAATATTACCCAGTTATTCAATTAGTGCAAGTAGCGATGTGACTGCATGGCGAAATCGAGATGCATAGATTTAAAAAAGATCGTATACGATAACGGTTCCAGACTATACTTATTCAATTACTATGTGATTACGTTTGCTTCGGTGGTAAATGTTCCATCATTCTTCAACTTCTTTTAATTTAAAATGATTTAGGTGAGAAATAATATCATAAGGATTTCGACCTAAATCGAACAGTGTCATATACAATGCCACAAATATACTATTAACGCAGCAAAAGCTATTACCATTCCAGCTGCTGACATCTTTATGAAAATACCCAAAATTGCTTAATAATTGCACACAATAACAATTCTGTCAAAACTTCATTTGACAAAAAAGGTAGTAATTAACAAAAACTCGTAAATTTTCGACATTGTTTACATCAAGAACGACTAACGTGAAATAATGGACCAAATACAACAAAATTAAACCTATAATTATATTTATTAGTCAAAAAGCTGTCACTCTTCCTGTCATCAGCACTTCCATTGCAGCTTGGAAATACTACTATTTGCTTCTGTATGGAAAAAGCTATAACATTACTTGACCAGAGATTCACCGTATGACTCAGACACAGGATTCGTGGAAGTTGCTAGTTGGTCAGTGCAGCGCATACATCATTTTGCATGCCTATAATACCGCCTATACCGCGATCGAAATCCATCTTTCAGAAATTCATTTTCAAACCTTGGGGCCTAAATCCATTTGTTTATTCATCTACTGATCATAGAAGAGGAGTATAGAATTTAAAAAAGTAAAAGCTTCTTTAAGGTTTTTTTAATTTTCTGACATTCTGCAATGACCATAAGTTAAAACCTAGGCATTACATGCTGACAGTAGACTGACAAAACATGACGAGTGAAAGACAATTTGACTGACCAACACTTAAGTTTGAACTAGCTTAGATCAACCCTGCTTTTCGTGCAACTACAACTCAACATCCTTATGGTTGTCACAATCAAATCACGATCACGAATGTGACTCCCACCATTCGAATTTTCATCGCTGTCCAATCAGACTTCACCATAAATTGTACGCAAACAATTCTCAAACTGTCTCACAGAGACCAGTGCTATTTGTGTTTTCCGGTTTAGCATGATGAAGAGAATACGTAATACCTCCCATTTCATCAGCGTTAGATTTCATGTCAGCTACAACTCTGCCTAGATTTAAGCTCCCTTGACAACTCTTCAGCCCTTCATAACTTCAATAGGAAGCATATCGCCACAACTAATTTAATTGATTTCCACTCCAGCCAACAAATCATAACCCACGCTCGACCATGGGGACCAATTCTCACAGCAAAAGTGCTCCCACCAAACGGTAATGATCGAAAGACGACTTAACCAATGAAGCTGGAATCATAGAAGTGCGAAGTGCAACAGTAATGTTTGTACGATTACTACTTGAATATGGAAGAGACACTTTTTTAAACACCTTATCTGCATTCGAAATTCACTTTTATTTCTTTGATTAGTAATAAATTTTCGGTGAATGTAAAATCACAAAGAATGAGCGCATTTTCACAAGGAAAAAACGTGAAACAAAAGCGACAACAATGTTAATGACTTGAACACGAAAAAGTAATCCACAGTAGATAGAACATGACGAAAGTGAATAAAAAACAACAGGACAAATTAGCAGGCCTATAAGCCAAAAAATAAAGTGCAAATAAGAGATGGCAATGAGTTCGATTTCGTACCAAACTTTCCAAATACGAAAGGGAATGACAAAACTTATCCACTACTAATTACAGATCATTTCAGATTGGAAGTGTTTTTCGACAGTAAACATGAAACCGAAACAAGCGGAACAACAGCCTGTTGGTAACAAGGAAGGCTAATAGCATCAGGTACTGTCCACTTGTACCACAAAAACCATAAGACATTTCCTGTACATTTAATAAAATGAAAAACACTGATACACCGATTCCCAATCAGAGGCGAAGAGAATTTACAGGGCTCCTTACATTTTACGGTAACATAATTCAATAAATCCGAGCTGAATACATGAAAGAAGAAACACTCTTAAAAAAAAGTATATGACAGTCAAAGACAGTAAATGGTAGATCTTGCGATGCATCTCCGAAAGGAAAATGATACAGAGACAAGCAAAAACTCCCTGACATAAATTACAATTGTCGTTAGTTAAGTGCCATTATAGAAAATGTATGATCATGGAGAATACAACATGCATTTAACATCAAGTAACACGATGCAAAGCTGCAATTAACATCATAAAAAACGAGATCATGTATTGCAAGTTTCTCATAAAAATTATTATGACTAATATTCCTGTTATGAAAAAATCAGCAATGAGAATTTATGCTGCAAATCGGTTGACTGAATAGTGTGTCATTCAAATTTGTAAAATTAGAAATCACAAAACATAATGAATCAGATTTAACAGCAAGGACTGATATGAAGAGAAGAAAAATAATACACATTACAGTTCGTTTGAGCTTTATAGAATGATTAATTGAGTTCAACTCGCACCTCTGTTTTCTCGGTCGAACAGATCTGTTGTGTAGTCCCTGAACATTTTGATCGCTTTCACTGTCAACAGCTCGCTGATTCGCAAGGCATGTAACAGCGTGGCGAAATGCTCACGTATGTGTCGCCCGCGTGTTTGCACATGTTCCAATAAACTAATTTCATCATTATGGGTAGGATCTAGGTAAGGCACTGTCATCGAGAAACCAACATGACTTCCGTCATTTCCATTCCCATGCCGCCCTTCGCTTTTCAGACTTTCAACAATTTCTGGATACCCGGACATTACTGCCGTGACTTCATTAATTACCGCACTTCCGTTTTCGACACTCACTATTTTATTCTCGTTTAACAGACTACAATCTGTACAAGATTGATTTCCAGCTGATACTTCGGTTGTTCTGAATTCTTCCCCTTCTCTACTACGCAATGGTTGCGCCTGATTAGAACATGTCGAATGTAGTTCTTGTTGTGAGCAACGTTCATACCTAAACTATTTAGGTAAAATTTAAGAAATGGAAAAATTGTAGGATGAGTAAAACTGAAAACAAATAAACAAGAAAAACAAAAAAAAAAAAACCAACTCTAAGTATATTTAAACTTGCCTAAATGTTTTCATATCCATTCCAAATTCTTTCTTAAACATTGCGCCCATTTCTGCAGCTGTAAAATGTGGCTCAAGATCTTCCAGCTTCAGCTCAGGAGTCGGTGACTTTTTCTTTGAATGTGCAATACTTCCGCGTTGGCGACCGCGACCTCTACGCGACTGACTTTTGCGTGTTCGCTTCATTCCGGATCGAAAACGTTTGGGCGGACGAATACACTTTTCCTTAAAATCACGATATAGTTTAAGAAAGAACGATATGGAAAGTCAGTAACGACAAGTTAAAATTAGTTATATTAGACAGAGCAAATCGATCTCAACAAAGTCAATAGCTGACAACTCCATTACGGTTGCACAACACTGAAATCAATCCAAAAACCAAGGAATGAGAAAGACGTCCTTTTCAAAGATCGCACTCGATTTAGCCATAAAGAAGACTGATCAACTTTGATTTAATCTTCGAAGTCACTATGTTCATCGAGGATATATTTTACTATACTAACACTCCCATTTTCAAACATTTGAAAAAAAAAGCAGACCCGGAACAATTTGAGTGTATAATTCATTGGTGGATGAAATTTCATTGCTATATTTGCATCATAGTTTCTTGAAATTGGAATAATTTTAGAAGGGACTGCTTTAGTAAATGACAGAAGTCGATTTTGCCATTTTTCTTCTCGAACACTTTCATTATCGTATGGTTGACAATCCTTAAAAAGATGTATTATAATAAACTAGGGCCCGTACTGTTGTATATCAAATAAACCATGGAAAAATGAAATAACATGTAATGTACAACTGGTAATAAATTGCATTGCTCAGAAAATTTAAAACTGCATTCTTCCTTGCTGAACAAAATTAAATCGCACTAAAGTTACTCCACTGTTAACGATAATATAAAGTTCACTGGGCCATTTAGTTCTAGATATGACGATAATTATGGAGAAAACTGCCGCAATTAGCGATCACGTCTTCATCTCAAAGGCTAAACAGTTTCAGATCTAAGTAAATTGATTAGAAACAAACTAACTTCTTTGTGACCATTTATCAGTTCGATATAAGAAGTAGGGTCACTGTATCTAACAAGATTAAGCATCTGTTTTGTTGCTTCATTTAAATTATCACACTCTGCCTTTCGCATGTCTGATAATCTTTGGTGGACTGCTCGCACTTGACTGAAACTTTCATTTTAAACACAGAAAGGAGTACCGAAATAAAATCTAGCAAACATTCCCTCACAGTTAACTATCGACTGCTGTTGAAGTGATAGTCATTTTTAGCCATCGTAAGAAACGAAAACATGATAATTGGAATTCTAACCATTTCTCGATCAATCATAGCAAAAGAAACCGAAAATGAAAGAAAAAATTTGCTAAACAAATGGATTTCATAACATCATCCATAAAAGCAAGGTATGTAATAGACCTTAAGGAATGCAACGTCCGCGAAAGATTCTTATCTCCTCCAACTCGTTTCTTTTTACGATTCAGTTCTTTCTCTATATTCATAAAGAAAGCATCATCCGCATCTAGAGCTTCTGACTTCCTTTTTCTACTAAGAGTGTACTGGCTTATATTATCATATAGGGCAACAACACTATTCGAAGCCTGAAACACACGCCATTGATATAATCTGCAGTAACAATTGTTATTGACACGAAGCATAGTTAGAAAGGTAAGATGTCGACAAAAAAAAAAAAAAGAAAAAATTAATACCGAAAAATCCAAAGTAAGGTATCAAAAAATGAAATAATCATAGATCTCTCAGACCTAACTTCGTGCCTTAGATGATGAATACTCTCCTCCTTAGAGAAAGTTAAAAAATCACCAGCGATACTGACCAACACTTGACAAAGAACATTTCAGGAAATAATACCAAAATTCTGTCGATATTTCAATATGCTGTAGGCTAAGAAAAAAAAAGCAGGAAGTCCTTTTCCCTGTATCCATATAGAAGTATGGAATATCCAACGGATTAAACACCACAGAGAATGCAATGCATACAGGTCTTCAATAAAAACTGCAATACAATTCAACCAAATGCTCACACGTATCCAGATTTTCTAAAGAGAATGAAATGCCATACTTGAGGTACAGTGTGAGGTAGTTCAAAGATCCCAAATCGGTCTGCAATTTTTATTTCGAACAGATGGTCATCTTTCTTTTTTCTTTTTCTTCCTAAATGCTGTTGTTCAATCCCCTCTTCTCGTCCTTCTGTAATACAGTGAATGATTCTCTCGAAGTCAGCAACTTAGAATCACTAAAAAATGAATCTTTCGTTATTGCTCAAGCACTGAATACAAAAAGTTCATCACCTTTATCATTTTTGACGATAACTTCAATGATTTCCGCGAGAACTTCTGCAACCGCCTGTAACATTTCGGTTTCTGGATCACGTCGACTCACATAACCGAACGGTTGTAGGCCACGAGATAACCTAACACTTGTTTGTATGCCTCTCTGAGGTGATATAAGACCAATTCCTATTACGCCACTGCTTGCACTACGCGCATAAACCTCTAAAGCTTCTTCCAGATATTTGTAAACGCATACAGGCTCATTATCAACATTCTTCTCAAAAACATTATCGGAGGTTGAAGGTGGACAAATCGGATAATTTTCAAGAAATTTTTCTGCCTGCTTTTTGGCTGCCATAAGTGAATAATCGTCCAACGAAGCAACCTGTAAACCATACAACCTCTGGACACTTGACATAACTCAGCACTAGACATTAAATGCACTAACACAATGGATGATTATAAGAGAGATTCTTGAGCACAAACCAAATTTGAATTTAATTCAACATCGGCTAAAACCGACTGCTTTGCAGTGCGGAAATGTTCCTGTAACATCCAACGTTTCACATATATTCGTTTCATTACACGCTCGCAACCGGAGATGCGATCAAAACGTTGCCAACGGTCTTTTAAACCAGAACAGAGAAGCATTTGCGCAAGGACTTTCCATTTCTATAAAAATAAATATTAAGAGAAGAATTTTCACCCTCATAAACAATTTTACAAACCCAGTGCTTGTGAAATTCATTGGCAAACAATTCAATTGATCCTGAAGATACCAAAAACATAGTTTCCTGCTTTATAGAAAAATTTATAAAATTCTAGAGTTCCTTCAGCACAAATACATGCATAGAACGCTTTTTCTGACTGTCTCACGGTCACCGATTACTATGACAACAAATTTAAACCATCAAAAATATAGAAAGCTTAAAATTTTCAAGTGGCTCGAGTACTACGAAGTTCCTTGTCAGCACCGAAAATAGGCAAAAATCTACGGGACATAACCGACAAAGTATTATATTGACCAATGGAATGTGCAACGAAGTACTGCGTCTTAATAAAAGTTTTACACAATACTACACCTGTTCAGTAAACTGACGACACTGGATTTTTCCTCCATTTTCATTTCGAATATTTGATGTGGTTCCCAATGTGATGACATTTTTCGGTACAGTCGACCCAACAGATTCCTTTGTCATCACTGTTGCCACCTATAACATACAATAAACACCATATTACAGATATCTGAGCAACGAATCAGAGGCAAAATGACTGAGAGACATGTTCAGTGCAAAAAAGAGCAAGAGTGAATCACAAATAGTGCTGAATCTTTCCCTCTCCTTTGCCAGGAAAAAATTATATTCAAACCAATTCTAAAAAGACAAACATGAGATAAGGTTTCATCTACAACAGTCGATGGGTTATTTCCATTTATCTTGTCCTCATCAAAAAAGCAGAGTGTCGCTGATACATCACGTGATCTGTGAAGAATCCGTTGACTGTTTGGACAAGGATTACTTGGGACAGCGATTTCTACCCTATAAACAAGTTTCACATTTGAAGAAAAATGAAAGCAAACAATAAAAGCAAATGAACCATTCGATAAATCATATTTACTAAAATAAAAAGATAACAGTACTGCAAATTATTAAGAGAAAAATCCAAAATATAGTAAAAATCATGTCGATCTACTTCACGAATATTCCCAGTTCTCATTTATGAACCCAGCATAAACTTCAACCGTTCCTTTCCCAAAATCATTTTATGACAAGTTTTATTATAATATGCTAAAGAGATAAGCAGAATTATCTGCTTTGAAGAAAATATCTGAAAACATGAAAGGAATAGCTTCTGAAACAACTAATCACAAAACGAGTAAAAAATTACCCGAATATATGACACATCAAATAAGTGACATCCTCGATTTTCTGGACTTCTGCTTCTTCAATCCACTTTTCATTGAGTTCGGTTTCCATCGTTTCTCTAACTGCACGGTCGATTTGTCCATACTGCAGTGATGTCCGCTTTTCATCAACAAAATTACGGACCGGCCACAAACTGGAGTCCAGCTCAACAACAGCTGGGACTCCTGATGCAGATAATTTATTCCGTAGGACCATCTAAAGTCCACAAATTGCTTCCAAAAAATCGCAAATGAAATTTAAGAAAAGAGAGGAGAGGACCTAAACTGTATAGAGGGGAGAAGACTTGAAAAACTCATTGAGAAATTATATAGTAGTAAGCAGTAGGCATTCTGAAATGGATCTCAGGAGGCAAAGAACGTAATGAAACTATAACAGTATTCCGTAAAGTAGTTCTAAATTAAAGGGAAGCATGTGGGCTAGGAAAATATGCTACAGTTCTTAAAAATTTCTTCATACAACTATAACCAGTGAACCAAAAAGCCAGCATTGCTTTAATACAAATATATCTCATGGATAGAAAAGGTTCAACATGATAGCAAATATTTTAGCAGCAATAAAAAGAGCAAACTTCAGCTTTCTTCATCCTCTTCACCTTTGTATAACTATCAGAATTAATCTGATGGGGAACTGACGATGAAACGCACTGCTGCAATGACACCGTCCCTACGCCATTATCTATGCGCACTCGACTGCGCCGTTTGGGCACTTTTTCAGGCACTGGATCTTCCACTTCTCTAAAAACTTTTCTTTATAATTTCTGATTCATCCTGAATTACCTGCGAAACAACATATAGAAAATCACAGTCTCCGAACACAAACTTGGACCTGGGATTACCTGTACAGGTAAACGCAATCTGATGAAAATATGAAGCGCTAAGCAAAATCCCTGTGCACAGATCAAAAAAAAAAAAAGAAGAAAATAGAATTAACCAACACTATAAAAGCAATTATTATCAGTTGCAAGGCATGAATCACTAAAACATTAAACATACCGTGATTCACAGTCAAGATCTGCAGATTTCCAAGTAAGCTCATCTTTCACAGTAACGAAGGAGTCTCCAACGACTCGTTCAGTATTTATAAGCAACTGAAATATTACATAAAAAACCTTATTCAGAAATCGACTCAAGTATGGAACCAGAGAAATAAATCATACCTTCATTTTTTCCGCATTTGTGCACTCGAAGTTTTGTTTTCTCAGTCTTTTCCGTGGTGACACTTCCACAGCTCCGGCAACCGCAACCTTAGATACAATACTAATTACGAATAAACAAATCTTCTGTGATGGCTCATGGATTCAATACACATCTCTACCCCGATATGGAATTTCGCGGTTGATTTTCTCCACTGCAATAAGCGAACATTTATCCGACAAAAAAAAATCTAATCTATCTAACCTGATCTGAAAAGTTCTTCGTATTTTGCACGACGTTGCCAATGAGTATAGCAGGAGTTTTCCGAGCAACGATCCCGCGAGTATTAGGTGACATGCATGGTGCACCGCTCAGCATGCGAGTATCTGTAGCACTTGTGCGCTTGAAACACATTAAACTGAAAAATGAAATAGAATATGTAGAATGATACATATAATCGAAAATTTGGGCAAAACAAGAACTTACCTCGAATTGTCTTTCACTGCAGTTAAGGGAGCCGTCAGTACTTCCTGATATGGGCCTGTTTGAGGATGAGCTTCGGCAACAATTAGGCGACGCACAGCAGAGAGAGAACCTGGAAAAACTGATCTTCTCAAGAAAGCTTCTTATAAAATATAACATCAATATTTCACAGAACGATTGGAAATAAAAAAGAAAAATCATCACATACTTAAACTCTTCTCTATGTTGCAACAATAAATTACCTGATTCTCGATTTTTGCGCAAAATAGTAGGTCGTGCGCTCGGTCCAGGATATGAAGTACCAACTGAGCCATCATGCTGTCCTGCCGGAACAGGAATACATGTATCATGCAGTGTAGTAACAGATGCATTGGTGGCGGGACATGCTATATTTAGAGTTGGTGCGGGCATCATGACAGGTTTGATATCCGTTCTTTCATCAGAGATACGCGTTACTACCTTCGCACCGCGTAAGAATTCCTAAACTGAATAAAATTTTACAAAATAAACAGAGAGAGAAATTTCTTAAGAGAACTAAAAATTTGCTCCCTCTTCAACCTTCTGTCTGACACATAATTACAAACCCTAGCAGTTGATTTACAATTACTCTAGGAATGTAAAACTGTCTTTTGCAATAAACACAATCCTGTGTTAAAAGTAACTTCCGAGATATATCAAAATATAATAGGAGAATGCAAAAAAACAGCGAGTTCCTCAGTGCTTAATATATGCCTACAAATTAGAGCTACTATATAAAACGTACCGCACTGCTTATAATTGGATTAACACGAATGGAGTTTCGAACCGGTATATCTCCAACACTAACAACACTTCGACCAGATGTCAAATATCGACTTAAAAAAAGTGAAATGAATAAACAAATTAAATTACTTTATTTCAACCTCTAGGGAAAAAACGTCTCCGGACTGCAAATTAATCAATTAAAAATCAGTTCATTTCCAGGCTGGAATCTCATGTAACGAAAATAAAAGAAAACTATATTATATCTCCAGTCTGCAAACCAACTACTGAAAAAAAGCAACGAGGAAAGATTCAAATGAATGGACCTTAATATAAATTATAAAAGGAATATTCCAAATTATCAATCTCGAGCAGAATATTATACCGTGAATCAGTGTTCCCACAGTTTGTGAAAGCAGCTGGAGAAGATCGAACAACGCGTGATTCCTCCAATTCCCGAGCACGCGACGGCGATAAGGAAAGAACAGGTTGCTGTGCACTCGCTAAATGTAAATTATGTTGCTGTTGAAGATACACTGTCGTCATAGGGCTACCACTTAGCTGGGCAATATCATCTGAAAATAAACATTATTTAGTCCAGAAAAAATTGATGAATGGGTCGAATAGGTACAGGATGTACACTAGTATGATATCAAACCGTGTAATGACAGTTCTCCCTGTCATTACTGATGATACTACCACTAAAATATTCAAACTGACAGCTATAAGCCTCATAGATTATATCGGCCTGAAAATGTGCTGGATTAACTGAATAAAAACTGAATACATTCCGTCTTCTATTTCGGGATATTCGGTCTATGTTAAAGTACGACAATCTTAAAACCGCCAAAAATTACAGGAATTCAACACAACCCTATAAAACATTCAAATACAGTAAATTATCAAATAAGTAATATCACCTCATCTGAGAAGCCAT